GGGCCCAGGCTGTGTGCTTCAGCACAGAAAGGCTCTTGAGGTTGCTGAGAAGGGAGGGGGCCTGGATTAAAGACCCCATGATGCAAGGACACAGTGAATTGAGGGAAGATTTCCCAGCAAACTCCTTTTGCTGCTGTTCAGCGTTTCTCTGAGTTGTCTCTGCTTTTCAAGGAACACAATTGTCTTAGTTTGTAGCCTAATGAAACCTGGCACTGGAGTTAACAAAGCTGTGGTGGTACTTTGGGGATCTTACTTGAAGGATAATGTTTAATTCATTTCAAAGCTTTTGTCAGTTCAGGGTTGTGTTGTAGCTGATGTGCTTTTAGCACGTGTGCCTGGATTACCATCACAGCATCTTCTGGGGCTCTGCTCCTGAAAATGGAAGGCTGGGTAAAAATTGAGTGCTAAACCTGGTCTTCTGCTCAGTTGGTTATAAATCAAAGTGTCCTGTCTATAGTTTCACTGGAAAGGAACAAGTACCCAAAGCCACTACTTTAAAAACTGCTTTGAAACATGGACAGCAGCTAATCTTACAAAGCACTGCACACGTGTAATATTTGGGTGAGGGGAAAAGACCTTCAAAATGTATGACAGTATTTTTCCCTGTCCTTACCAAGGTTGGTCACCTGGTGCTCGCTCCTTGCACAGAGAGATGCTGCCCCAGCTGCAAATGTCCCAGAGAGGACTGAAGTTACCCTGGAACTGCAGTGGCTCTCACCAGCTAAGCCTGGAGCACTGCTTTCCCCCACCACAACGGGCTCTTCTTGCCCTTGGGACTTCTGTGTGTTATCATAGAATGGTTTGGGTTGGAAAGGACCTTAAAGATCAGCTGGTTCCACCCCTGACCTGGGCGCCTCCACTGGCATCACCTCACAGGAGTGGTCTTGTCTGCAGGTCATTGAAAGGGACCCTTTGGTTGCCCACCTTCAGACAGCAGTCCCTCTGTGAGTCACCCTGCACAGCAAACACCTGCAGCAACCACAGCCCAGTCCTGTGAGTAACACTCCAATCACTGCTGGTTGAAATGAAAATGCTTCTTACGGCAAACGCACAGACATCAGCTCATGCTCAGAGGAGCCTGAGGGATGACTAATAACGAAATACATGAAGTGATACAAAAAGCACCGAGTTCTGTTTTGTTTTGCTGACAAAAAAAAAAGGTAAAAGGCTCTTAAATGTATCTCTGGGGTGTGGTTACTGCAGTGTCTTCAATTGCAGCCTGGCCTTTCTCCAGGAGCATTTACTGTGACAGAGGCACCACTGGGACCATGGCTATCCCCAGGGGGCATGGACAGCCAAGAAATGGACTGTGTTTTGGTGCTATTAGTGCACTTTCTGAGATAAACAGCAGCGTGTTTTCATTTCTCATCTTGGCCTAGGGAGGAGCAGAGCAGCACTCACAGGTCTGCTCCTGTGCAGGACTCACAGGAGTGACCAGGTGCTTCAGGGTATCAAACCCCTCCTGTTTACACCTCCTCTGTATCTCAGACTTGAAATGCTTCCCAGAGCTGTGGGATAAGTACAGGACTTGTGAAAATGTGTTTAAATTAAAGGTGCTGTTTGGGCTGCCTCTGCCTGGGGGCTTCCATCAGAGACTCCCCTGTGGTGTGGGGACATCCCAGTGGGGCAGGGGGAAGGGGTGGGGAGGAAAGAACTAAAGAGTGGGGCTGTTGTGGGGTGCCCATCACCCCCATTCCCCACCCCTGCACCATTGGGATGGGAGAGGAGTCAGGGAGGGAGGAGTGAAGATGAGTCTGGGGCAGGTAAAGTGATTTGTTTCTCATCATTGATCTCTGTACCCATTAGAAATAAACCAATTTTCACCCAGCCAGGTCAGTTTTGCCCACGCCAGTGCTTGGTAAGAGGTCAGTAAATGTTCTCCATGCTTTTAACTTGACCCACAAGTTAATTTTGTCCCCACCTGCTGCTGATGGCCAAGGTCACTCACCAAGAACAACCTTACAGCTGGTAAAGGGAAAACCAAACGTACCCACAGCACTGCAGGGCAGGATGGATGGCATGGAGGCATTTAATCAATGCTTTCAAACCCCAGTGTCTGCTGCTGTTTGTGAAGGGAGTGGAAATGGCTCAGCAGCTAATGCTGTGGAATGATCATAAATTTCAGTGGTATGAATTGAATGAGAATGCTTAAATGTGGATTTTCATCTTGGTTGTTCACAGTAAAACCTGAGATGGTCATGGAGAATCCTGTCATGTGATTAATTAATTCAGAGAGAGAAAATTTGTGAAATAAACCCCAACAGTGCCATGTTCCTGTGCTGGGTACCCTACGGGTTGCGAATCAAAAGATTTGACAGATTATGGGCTGGGCTAATTGAGACAAGGTCTCAAGTGTTCTCAGTCTAAAACTAGGGACAGCCAGCATGGCTCAGGAATTAAATCTGAAAGCAAACACCTATGACAATCAATTAATTGCTAACAAAATTATTTCTTCAGTTACAGTGGGAGTGGATGATGGAGCCAAGGCAGATGCAACACTAGAGGAAGAGAGAAAAAAAACAACTCATCTGCCAAATATAGGCAAGACATGCCACAAAATGCATAGAAATGAGGGTGATTTTCCTGTGCTTGATCAAAGGTAAAAAACACGTGTTTAAAAAGCCTGATGTAATTTAGAAATCTTTTTGATGTGAATTTGAAGCTGTGGTTCGATAGCTTTTCCTCCACTCACAGGACACAGATGGCTATTCCATAGTAAATGGGGTGCAATTAGTGACTGTCCACAGCTGAAGATAGCAGTGAGCAGGAACTCTGAGGCTTTCTGGATCTTAACTGCATCTGGACCAATAGTCTCCTGTTTATTTTATTTTATGTTATTTAATTCCTGGGTGTATTTAATTGCTGATACCCAACTCACCACCAAGGAAGCAGGTCTTGCAATTGCTGTTGTGTTTTTTTATTTTATATTATTTTACTCCCATTTTTTTTAAATTGCTGATACCCAACTCCCCGCAAAGGAAGAAAGTCTTGCACTTGCTGTTGTATTTTTTATTTTAAATTATTTTATTCCAGTTTTTTTAATTGCTGATACCCATTTCCCCACAAAGGAAGCAGGTCTTGCACTCTCTGTTGTGTTTCTCTCACGTCTCTTTGGCAATGACCACTTGGGATTTTCTCTTGTCCTGTAGCCTGGGGAATGTTCTGTTTCCTAGGACCATCTGGAAAGTTCATCTGAAAAGCTTTAGTTATGTCAGGGCCTTGGGACCTGTGATCTGTTCTGGTCTCCCAAAGGAAATTTGGAGAACATTTTTCTCCCCATTGTGGGGATGTTCCAGGCACATTCTGCAGATCTTCCTGCACTGAATGTCTGCTACATGGTTTTAATGGCTCTTACAACCATTTGCAGTCATAACCATTCAGTTTATCATGGCTGTGCTAATACTCACCATGATTTAATCTATATAAATCAAGTAAATATCGATTTATTAAATTTTCAGGGTTGTTCCTTGTATGGAAAAGCCATTATGCAGTTAATATGTTCTAAGACTGGCAATTTGGCTTTATAAATTGCAGATTGTTTTTTGCCTCAGCTTTATGCTGGGCTCAGAGCAATGTGAGACTTTGCTACCCACCCCTGTATTGTTTTCTTTGCACATCTCACCAGCATGATTCGTGGTTTGGGGCCCAGAGATGCTCCTGGTTTATCTGATACCACAGTTTCTGTGTTGTGGGGCTGATTCACAGCCTTGCACAATGCAAGACACAGTTGTTTGTGTTGACTGACTCTCAGATAGCTGCCCTAACATATTTAGTTTGGACTTATCCATCTACCAGTCTGTGCAGGATATGGCATTTGCTCCCTTGAATTTAGTTATTCTTTGTCTGATTTATAACACAGACCTGTAATAGATTATCCCAGCACAGTTGGAGTGCACTGAACTACAGATTAAGAGCTGGAATGAGTGGGGAAGGCAGGGACTTCATAAACCAGATTTATGGAATCAAAACATTTTTTTTTTTAATTTTGATACTACAACAGAAGCTAACAAAAAGTTACCTGAAGAGCTAACTTTATGACATATTTCAGTAAACTCTTTCCTGAATCTGCGATCTCATATAATTAATCTGTGTTTTTTAATAAACACCCTGCAACTCCAGCAACTGCTGCAGAAAGCAAAGACTGTGCCATTGTGTTGAAGTCCAGTGCATTGGTGTGTTTATTAAATCTGTTGGTATTTTCTTCACTGAGACCTTTGTAAAATGCTTTTTTCATGTTGATGTAAGTCACTCTTTAGGCACTGGTCAAGTATTGCTGTGCAGTGTCTGTTCAGCTCTTAACCTGCATTCACAAACCAGGCACTGAGCTTCATCCTCTCCCTTAGTGGGCACAGTGACAGGCTGTGCATCGCCCTGGGGCACAGCAAAAAGGGGGAAAAAAGGAGCTAAATGGGGTGGGAGGAGGTATGGATCCATGCCAGCACTTAGAGCCCCAAAACTACAAGACAAAGCTTCACAGCTTACAAACCCAGGGGTAGCTGAAGGTCTGATCAGCACCTGGAGCACAGGGAATGACAAAATAAACCCTTCTGAGGGTTTGATCTCAAAGAGCAGAGTGGTTGGAGCTTGGTAAGAAGCACTGCTGCCCAAAGCTGGGTTTGAGGAGGGTGCTCAGCAGGAGAGTGGGATTCCTGCAGGAGACACAGATGGTGATGGGAAGCACAGCCTGACTTCATCCAACAGAGAGCACTTAGAGACAAAACCACATAAATAAAAAAAACCTCTTGCAAGACACCTTTGAAACAAAAAAGGGCAGACTTCAGATGAGCAAGATTGATGGGACAAGAGATTCTTCACATTGCATTTTGTCTCACAGGTTTCAGTGCAGTAATTTGCCAATTCATTATGGTGCTGCATGTCTTTTGCTAATTATTAAAATTATTGTCAGAAATAATTTGTAGTCTAGGTTTATAAAGAGGCTGTGGTGAGTTCAGGATGCACAAGCTCTCAGAGTTGAATTAATTTGTTTTTATTTAACTTTCAGAGTTGAATTAATTTGTGTCAGAAGTTGGATTCCAGAAAGCACTTATTAAAAGTGAGTCAGAAATAAATTCTGTTTGTTTTCCTCAAATACACATTACGTAAAAGAAATTTAATTTTAGTAAATTTATTAGTGTCTCTTTGCAGAAAAGCAAAGGATTGACAGTTGATCTAAATTGTTACAATTGTTTAAAAGGTCAAAAACTATAGCACTTAGAGACAAACCATTCTATTGAGCTAGAAAGCTTTTATTAACATGCCCACATATTGTGTATAACCAGGGAAACTAAAAGCCTGCATTTCCCAAGTTTGAGAAGCTGCTCCGTGATTTTGACTGAGTTTCCTGTCAGTACTTCCAGGAGCTGCTGTTTAAGGAAAGCTGTGGCAAAGGCCCTTTGCAGGGTTGTTTTTTTTTTTTTTTCTGTCATATTTAACCCAGCCACGTCTAAGAGAGCCAAGAAAATAAAGTCCAGACAGTTCTGTACAGCACCTCAGTGCAGGCAGTGATCTTATTTAATGCAGGTCACAGCTCCCATCCTCATGGTCACTGAAAGGCCAGAATAAATGCTGTTTCTCCATCTGAAATTCTCTTTTTCTAGTGACTTGCCATTGTTGCACTTAGAGAAATACACCTGAAGCTTAAAAAACATAGTAAGAGGATGAGATTTCTGGTCTCTCACCCTGGAGCTGACCTTGGACAGGCCCCATGAGGTGACAGAGCATGGCCTTAGATAAATCCCTAAATGCCTGTGTTGGTGTGCCCAGCAGCAGTGCTGCAGTGGCTCCCACAGAAGCACACAACAACAACCCCCCAGAAAATGCTCTTGTGGGATTTGAAACTGGCCAGGTGCTTTCCCCTTCCTTCAGGAACTGGTAAATGCTAATTTTCCTGTTTCCAAGTCCATTTCTGGTAGTGCTGGACCATGTGAGCTGTTTCAGCTGTGTTTGTGGAAACCTGGGTTTGCATCTCCCTTGTTTGTAGTCCTGTAAAACTCCAAAATTGTTATGAATTAAGGGGCATTTCCTCCCAGTGTGGGCATGGGAGCTGCCTGCTTCATATTTAAATGTTACTGCTTCTTTGGCATTTACTTTGACACGAAATGTTATAGATTTGTAAGTAAGTATGGGGTTTTTTTAAATAGCCTAGGAAGAAAAACAACTTTTGAAGGTACTTTATCTAATCCACAAAAAAAAAAAAAAATAGCTTTGAAATAAAAAATGTCTTGTTTACAGCATGAGGAGTCCATGTTCCAGATGTCTTCATCTGCTGTTCTTTGAAGTGTTTACCAAGAAGCTTTTTTGGATAAAGAAAAGGCCGTGGGGATTTCAGTGACAAAAGGGGCACTGCAGTCTGTTCCAGGTGGGGTGCACTGAGGGACTGGGAGCCTGCAGAGGGATCGCTGGTGGAATGCAAGGAAAAGAGGAGGTGGTTTCAACATATTAATAGTGTAGAGCTGAGTGGTGCAATAAAAAGGACAACAGCACCCAGAGCATGTCAGATGTCGTGGTTTAGAGCCTCAAAGGGAAAAGAGAACACACAAAAGAGCCACCACTGGTTAGCAGTGCACACAGTAAAGATTGGTGATTTGGGGGAGAGCTACATTTGATTCCAGCTTTCCCTCATTACTGTATTGAGCTCCCAGGCTTGGCTTTAACTTGACATTGTAGTCATTATAATCTCTTTTGTACAAGTGGCAATAGCCAGTTCAAATACTTCAGAGTGTGTATGAGTTGATGTATTTCTCTGTGCTTTATTTTATTTTAAAAACAAAACAGAAAAGAGCTTTACTTGACTTAAATGACTAATTTGTCCTGTACCAAGTTGTTTTTTCTAATTAAAAACTTTTCTTGGGGAAAAAAAAGCACAACAAAATTTTTGAACCAGCACTATGACTTTAATATTAAAGGGCTAAGTGGAAACTATAAACATAAAGATGAACAGTTTCTACCCAGTAGGGTACCTAATGTGAGAAATGAAAACATAACTGCCTAGAAGTAATTGGTATTATGAGAAGTATAGAATTTCAGTCATATACAATTATAGAATCACAGAATCATGGAATGGTTTGGTTTGAAAGGGCCTAAAAGCCCATCCAGTGCCACCCCAGGGACACCTTCCACTGTCCCAGGCTGCTCCAAACCCCAGTGTCCAGCCTGGCCTTGGGCACTGCCAGGGATCCAGGGGCAGCCACAGCTGCTCTGGGCACCCTGTGCCAGGGCCTGCCCACCCTGCCAGGGAACAATTCCTAATTCCCTATTTCATTTATAGAATCACAGAATCATGGAATGGTTTGGTTTGAAAGGGCCTAAAAGCCCATCCAGTGCCACCCCAGGGACACCTTCCACTGTCCCAGGCTGCTCCAAACCCCAGAGTCCAGCCTGGCCTTGGGCACTGCCAGGGATCCAGGGGCAGCCACAGCTGCTTTGGGCACCCTGTGCCAGGGCCTGCCCACCCTGCCAGGGAGCAATTCCTAATTCCCAATATCCAATCCATCCCTGCCCTCTGGCAGGGTGAAAATCTGGATAAATTCTTTCTGCCTTTGTTTGAGCCCTGTAGTGTTGCCATTGCCTGAAGTGCTGCTGGAGATGAACTCCCTCGGAACAGGTGCCTGGAATAACATAATTGGGTATGTTCAGAGTAACTTTACTGTGTGCACAACCCACATAAATCATGTTGAGCTGGCTCTGTGCTGCCTTTTACCTGCCTTTCCCTGCCTTTCCCTGGGATGAGCTGAGGGAGATCCTTGGGGGCAGAGCACAGGCTGGGAATGTGCTGGGGGGATGGCAGTGAATGGTTGGTTTGTAGGAAATGCTGTGGATGTTTGACTGGATCTGGAACACGTGGTTTTGGCAAAGTGCCCTGCAGAGCTGGCTCTAGGATCTCTCCAGGAGGTGAGTTTCCCTTCATTTCTGGATGTGGCTTTCTAGAGAGCACAGAAGTGCTTTTTTTCAGTGAAAATACTTCAAGTGCTGCACTATGGTCTGAGTCATGGCATAGTGTTGTAGTTAATTCCACTTTTTCCAGCTGTATAACTTGCTTTCATGCAACTTCATTGGTTATAATGAATGTTCTGTAATTATAAATGGTGTTTAGGCAACGCTTCCAGCAATATCCACTTTCCCTGCTTTGTGTCAAACTTACATAGCTCCCTCTGGCCATTGAATTAACCACAGAATTCTGTGAGAATTTTCAGAAATATTTTCCAGCTTCTAATAGAAAGATTGACATGTTTTGCATATTTTAATTTAAACAGTTTTTTAAACGCAGTGTCATTTAATTGTTTTCCCTTTGCAGTTCCAATTAAAAAAGAGAATGGGGATTCCTAAAGTAAAGAAGCTAATTTCTTTTTGCCTTCTAAGCATTTAGCTATGAGGAATGAAAGAAATACAGATTTGAAGGGTTTTCTGTGAGGAAAAAAAAAGAACAGTGAAATGCAGCAGCATGGCAATGATGCTAATTACAGAGGCAGCAGAGAAAGGAAATGTGTCAAATTAGTCTCAATTGCATGAATTTGATTTTGCTGTTTATGTAAAAGAGTGCAATAGTGGAAGGAGTACCCTGCAACAATATTCCCTTCAACCTGCCACTGGGAAACAAAGCTGGAGCTCTCCAGGAGTCCTGGATCGGGACTTCCCTCTCAGACACCCTGGATGGGTTTTGTGTGTGATTGACAGAAGGAGAGTTGTGGTTGTTTCTGGGGTTCCCAGGACAGAGGAGGAATGATTGAATCTGACTCCATGTTCTTAGAAAGCTAATTTATTATATTATGATATTATATTTTATTAAAAAATGCTAAACTAAAACTATACTAAAGATAGAGAAAGGATACATCAGAAGGCTTAACAAGAATGATAATGAAAACTCATGACTCCTCTCCAGAGGAGCTGGCTGTGATTGGCCATTAAGTTAAAACAAATCACATGTTGGATAAACAATCTCCAAAACCACATTCCAAAAGCAGCAAAACAGGAGAAGCTGAGGCTTCTCAGCTTCCCAGGAAAAAATCCTGGGCTTTGGGATTTTCCAGAAAATATGACAGTGGCAGAGAGTGACACAGAAATGCCTCCCACCAGCCCTTGTGCCCTCTGCACTTTGCTGCAGTGCTCTGTGCACACCTGGGCAATGTGCAGGTACCACGCTCAGGTCCTGCCAGAGCTCCCACCAAAATATGGCCAACAATGGATCATCTTCAAAAGGCTCAAAATCAGAAATTGTGCGGAATAAAAAATAAGTGTGGGCCATGTGTTTCAATGGAAGAGTGAATGATTCATGTCCAGTAATACTGGCAGCAAAATCTGGTTACTGAGGGGATGTTATGGATTTAATTTTATACTTATTAAGGTAGCAGCAACATGGCATTAGGTGCCTTATACGCCTGTAATTAACTTTTACGTTGCTTTGGGTTACTCATGTTCTAGCTTTCTATAATTTGTGCGGGATGTGGATGGTTCTGTTCCTCTGGAGGTGTTCTGATCAATGCAGGTAAAGCTGATGGTGACTGAGGAGGTCAGGTAGCTGAGCCCCCTTCCCCAGCAGAAGCAATTAGACCTCAGCCATGCCTGACAGTTAATTAGCTTGCCTGTTCTTCAAACCCTCCTGTGACAGAGATTCCACTCTTCCTTGGCAATTGATTTCTGTGCTGAGCCGCCTTGACAGACAGAAAGATTTTGCTAACATCTGAACAAAATTTTCCTTGCTGCAGTTTAACCCCTCCTGTCCTGTCTTGAGATGAATAGTTTTGTCCCCTTCCCCTGACAGCAATTTTCCGTAATGGAAAATTGTTGTCATGGAGGCTTCACAACATTTTAAATTTAAAAAATATCACAGAACCTTCAGTCTTCTCTCATGGGTCAAGTTTTTTAGCTCACTGAGTCATTCTGTTGCTTTTCTCTTGGTGTTTTGCAATGACTGGAGTTCCTGGCCTGCTGGGAAGCTTTAGTGAAGCCACAGCAGTTCCCAGCTGGTGGAATCCTGGACTCATGGAACAAACAGTTTGCTCTGGGCAGGACCTTAAAGCTCATCCAAATCCACCCCCTGCCATGTGCAGGGACACCTTCCACTGTCCCAGGCTGCTCCAAGCCCCAAAGTCCAACCTGGCCTTGGGCACTGCTAGGGATCCAGGGACAGCCACAGCTGCTCTGGGCACCCTGTGCCAGGGCCTGCCCACCCTGCCAGGGAGGACTTTCTCCGATATCTCACCTAAATATGACCGCCTCCAGGCTTTTCCTGCTTGTCTTGTCTCTACTTGCTCTTGTGAAAAGTTCCTCTCCAGATTTCTCCAGCTTGATGGGAAGTTCAGGGGCTGGCAGGAGCAGGGACAGGCACCTGCCAAGTGGGTGCTGGCTCAGGGGGCTGTTTGCTGGCAGGACAAGGCAGCAGAGACAGTTCACAATAATCCTGTGTATCCTGTAAAGCCATCATCCCTAGGGATGGTGATTTAGTAAGGCAGAGTGGGAGAAGAACAGAGGGTTATAAAAGGATCCACATCCACTGGAGAGGGTCTGAAGGAGGGACACAGGGATGGAGAAGGGTCTGGAAGGACCATAGAATGGCCCTTGTGAGGGTGATGCCTCAGGTTTCAGCTTTTATATTTTTCAGATTCTGTGCTGCTTTGGTGTGCAGTTCTGAGTTTCACATTAACGGATGGTGAGCTCTCTGCACAGAGCAGGGAGACAAAACAATTCCTGCTCTAGCTGGGGACCAAGGACAAATGATCCAAATCTCAGGCCCAAGAGCACAAACAACGTGGGCTGAAGAGAGAAAAACAAGGATAGGACTTCATAAACTAAAGCTGTAATTGGAGAAATAACTCCAATATGCAAATGGAGCAGAACTTGTCAAAGTGAGAGACCCCATGATCAGCTGTCTATTTTGTGACCATTTTGGTTCACCTTGGATGTAGCAGTCCAGCCATGGACAGCAGCTTCCCTTAGTGGGAAGGCCCACCTACCCCCTCAGCCAAACCACTCTGCAGCTAAGGATGAGCTGTGCTCTGAGAGGGGGGATAATTTTCCCTTAGAAAACCATGGGTCTGTCATTTCCATCAGTTCATGTGACAAGTACAAATCAATCCACATACTCTACATTTTTGAAATGTTCCTGGTTTATTATTTTCTGAAATTAAGGCATATTTTAAAAGCATTTGTTAGGACAAAATATTGGCAGTTGGAAAATGCCAGTCACAGGCTTTTTCATGCCTATGAAAAGCAGTGATGGTTAGGATTATTTCAGTAGAACCTTGATGCAGAGAGGCCACTTGGTTTTGTAGCACTGGTTGGGGTGGTGCCTGTTCCTCCTGGGCTCCTGTGTTGAGAAGCCAGGATCTTCCTTTGTTTCCTGAGGTTTTCCAGTGTCCTGCA